AACATAATTTCAGCCAATCAGCGCCGTCAAATATTTTGGTCACGAGGGCGCTCACGTTGGCGCCCACGTTGCTTACGTGCGTTGACGTGAGTTGTTTTTTAGACTCGTGAGGAACTGGGGTAGTATCTATAGTAACGCAGTGTAGGCGGAGCCGTGACGTCATCTTCAATGAGCTCCCCAGAAAAACAACACAGCCGTTAGCTCTTAGCACTCAGAGCTCACAGCTCTTCATATCTGTTCAGAAACTAGACAAAAGTTAAACAAGTACAAACCACAGACTGTCTGTGTCATGGCGGCTACAGTCGCTGGTTTATTTATGTCTGTATAGGCCGTTGTTGTGAGTGTGGACGGTCGGAGCATATACAACGTTAGCCTAGCCAATCTCCATTAGAAAACACACATTTTAAAAGGTTTTCCGCCTGCCGTCTGTCTGCAGACTTGTCAAAGCCTTAATTCATGGTTTTTACTATCCGGTATCAGTATGTTGTTACTTCGGCATCATTTTGAAACGTGTATTACAATTAAATCACGGTCAAATATGTTCATCTTGTTGTAGTTGTAGCCCCCTTGACAGCGATTCTCTCTCTTGTTTAGCAAACTCAGCCCGACTCAGCCTGGTTGTTCCTGGCCCTAGAACCACGATTTTATGGGGCCATTACATCACCAGAAGTCCCAATTTAAGGGGTCATTTCTCCCAAAAAAAAATGTTTTACTCACTATATCAACAGCCCCACCAAAAAAAAATTCCACCAGCCGCCACTGATATTAACCAACAAGCACCGAAAACACCTGCGGGGGGAGGAAGGATGACTGGCTTGATAGTATTGGTGCAATGGCGCCCCCTGACGGTGCATACAAGGAACATTACAATATTAACTACTTTGCAGACAGATATTATTCATAGAAAATACAATTGAACAGAATGAGAATGTTTTACATAACATAAAGTGTAATGTGTCAGGGAGTCAGGGTTGCCATAGAGCCTGATCTGTTGAGTTTCATAGATCACTTTAAGTCTGTTAGAAATGAAGTTTGAATAAAAACACTAAAACAAGTTAAACAGATACTAGCTGGTGCTACGGACCTCACTTTATCTGTTCTGGTGAGTAACCTATTCTGTCAAATGTATACATTTTATTTCAGTAAAAAATACGTTTGAACTGTTTTCTCTGAATGTTTAGGCTGCAGTTAAGTATTTTGGAATGTCAGTTTGTTTAGTTTCAGCCAACAGCCAGGCTGAGCTCTTTTTAACTTGTTGGTGAGTAAGCTTTAGTTAATATGTTAGTTTGACTTATAAATGTAATCTGAATGTTTATTATTAAATTTTCTAAATATGAATTCAGAATTGTGCTTTAGCTAATATCTGTTTATTTACTTTTAGCTAACAACCAGACTGTAGGAAGATGGAGACTAACGTTCCTGAACAAGAGTCCGAAAACCGCCGGGGTCTAGTGAAGAAATGCTGGGATGCCTTGCTTCAAAACAGCTATCTGGCTGCAATTCTCTCGGCCGTGGCCCTGGGTAGGTGATAAGAAACTACATAGCTATCTTACTAACTTTATTTTGTTTGGAAATCGAAGTAGCGTTAGCTTGGTTAGCTAGTAATGCTATCTAACGGTTAACGTCTATGTAGACACGGCATGTGCCGTTCAGGGGCAGAGACTGCACTGGAAAAATGCTGCCCCTAAATCAAGTTAAATTATAATAAAAATAAGGTGTTTTCACTTCCACTCTTTAACCTAAATATTTATTTTAAATTATTTAGAACTATATTTTACCAGGATCAGGAAATGATTGGAAACGTTTTCGATTTTCTTGTGTTAGTTGGTGTGTTTCCAATAAAACGGTGTCTATCAAAATCAAGTAAGATTCATTTCTTGAAACAAGATGATCTATCTTTTACAAATACCACAGCACAGCAGCTTAAAAAAATGGTTTCATCTGAGATACAAATCAAAATAAGATGTTTTCGAGAGTCTCTGACTTAACTAAGATGAATTGTCTAAAAACTAGACCCTTATGTATATCTCACTACATTGTTACTTCTTAAGTCTTATAGCAAATGTAAAGACATATGACTAGATATAACACTTTTACTTGGCAAGATTTCCAGTTCTTACAGTGTGTTACATATTTAAAGCTTTTTTAGAAGTGGCTTTTTACTGAAATTAGAAACAAACCTTAATTGAAATAAAATAACAAATGTAAAAAATATCAAAAGCATATTTGAATGACAACATCAGTAAGATACATCAAACTGTATAAAACACTTTGAGGAAATAGTTCTTTTCCCAAGGATTCCATTACATAATCAAGTCATAACAATAACCTGTTACCAAGGCAACCACACCATCCTGTAACTAAATGAATCTTTAAAATAAATATAGTGGAGTAAAAAGTAAAACATTTGCTTCCAAATGTAGTAGAGTAGCAAATGGTCTCCCCAGGTTAAATCTAATTCCAGTAGACAATTTAAATCATTACAGAGCTGTTATAAGAGTTGCCATGATAATAATAACTCCATGTCAAATGTCTACCGCCCATTTAGTTTAACAAGAGACACTTTAATATTTCACTTTTAAGGTCATGGCATTCTGCCTTGCAGTATGACATTAGTACAGTTTATGAAGATACATCAGAAGTCATTATTAGCAGTTATGAATGAAGAACATGTAATCCATTTTTAAATGGTCATTGACATAACTGAGATGAACAGGTTAGAATGATCAATGATTATATATATATTTTAGTGGTTTTACACATTTTAAAGAATGTAATTTAATGAAAATGTTGCCAAGTTCTATTGTTGCCGTTCCACTTTTAATGGTTTTTCTTGCATACAGCAACATTTCTTGTTCAAGTGATTGACAATGTGTCAGATCGATAAATCCAGCGGACAGTCCAACAGCATTAGAACTGCAAAGTTGAATAGATATATTCTTTAGTTGTTGATTATTAAAATAATCGGCATCTATTTTGATTGTCAATTTTAGTATTTTTTTTAAGAGAAAAAACGGAACTTCTATGATTCCAGCTTCCTCAATGGGAATATGTACCGTGTGTCATAACCACCCTATGACAATAAATCCAACATCTTCAGTTGTGGAGAAAACAAAACTGTTGGGGAGATAATCTTGGGCATTTTCGGGATTTTATGGACAATACAACTAATTCTTCAAGATAGTAATTGACAATAAAAAAAGTTAGTTGTTGTTGCAGACCTAGACGTCAATGCAAAGCGCTTGATTTTAAGAAATGTATAAAAAATGACCCAGTCTAAATGTGTTCCAGCCATAAAATGAGCCAAAACATACAAATGCAATACAGTCAATATAAACATGGAAACAAAGATCAAGAAATATGAATTCTATAATCATGTGACCTTTTTTAATTACATATAATTATTCAAGAGCTACATTTAACCTGACTTTAACATAAGGTTTTAATGGTAATGGAGCTTTGTTGAAGAATTGAAAGTGCTCTACAAATTTCCCCCAAATGATTATAGATGGCTGAAGTGGTGAACATTTGTATTATTGTATTACTAAATTGCGGTTCCCAGCTATTTAAACCTTTTCTTTGCAACATTTCTAAAATGTTTCTCCGAAAATTGTCTCACAGGTATGACTGCGGGCTTGATTCTCAAGTTCTACATCCAAATCTCGGAACACGACAAGCAGTACATCGGCTTCCCGGGAGAAATCCTCATGCAGATGCTTCAGCTGGTGACCGTGCCTCTCCTTCTGACCAATATGATAACAGGTAAGCCACGGCAGTATTTCTCACACTGTTAGCTCATATAATAAGGTGAAAAATTGAGTGCAATCACAATTTAAAAATGTTGGAAAGTAATTGATTGCTATTTTTAAGACTACACCCATATTACACAATAATATAACCCTATTACACCCTTACTATACCACGTTAAACCAATATTACACCCACATTACACTGTTATTCGACCACACACCATGTAGCAGCAAAATTACACTAATTTCTCACCATAATTACACTGTTATTACACCCCTATTATAATATTATTACATCCATGATTCATTTAATTAAAATTAAACACATTTATACACCCCTTTTACACCCATGTTACATCTGTATTACATCCAGATTATACCCAATGTTATACTTTTATTACACCGCTGTTTTATTAAACAGATACTACAGCCATGTAACACCAATATTACACCCATATAAGACTGTAATAATTACACTGTTATTACACCCATTTTACACATGGACGCAACCTCTCAAATGACTGTATCCCACATGATACAAAACATATTTAAGGGTTCAAAGGAACATACTGCTTCTATAACCTTAATACCCTTAATTAAGGAGAGTGTAACTCGTGATGAAGAGTAGCCAGTGCCACAAGTCACAATTACAGCAGCATGGTAAATGCTAAAACTAACACAAGTAGATTAATGTTGCCGATAAACCTACTTATTAATGTTAACCTAAAGTTTGCTAAAATCAGCCAACTTAACTACTGGTTAGTTCAGACCAACGTTTAATGGATTTATCAATGGTGCATTTTTATTGCTCTGGAATTCTACTTTTTACTTGTCTGAGTAAAACATTATTATAACCTCCCCTTAAAATGTCAGAATTGTTGTTTAATGTTCAACAATCTTGATAAAAATACATCCTGCTTCTTTAATCTTTTGCAAAGGCTTATTCATGTTTTGTAAGCTTCAACATACAGTAGGCTTGTCGTGCCCTTTTTCTCCTTCTTGCCATTCATTTGCACTGAGCCACCTTTATGACCCACGATCGCCTCCAAAATGACCGGAACCGGGATTTCTGTGTTAGAAAGTAGTTCAGAATAAAATGGTCTACTGTGTTACTCTGTGAATTATTCAGATGAAATGTACAATTGTTTCACGAAGAATGAGGTTCTGTTCTATTCTGCTAAAAAACGTGTTATGTCCATATTTGACCTTCCATTAAAGAAGTAAATATCAATTTATCCTCCTGTAACATACTGTATGTTAGAATGAGAGCTGAATGAGGCTTCACTCCATTACAGGGATTCAGTTGGGTTGTGGGGTGAGCCCTCAAGCTTTCCCAATAAATATTCTAACCCCTCATTCGTACACCCGTTATCCTCTTTAAATGATCTGACCCAGAACTTCACCTATTTCATGAATTTCCTTAAACAAGTATGCATGTACAGTTAAATCCTGCCATCTGTTTACGCTGTGGTATTTTTATAACACATATAATATTACTCATTTCCAAAGAAGAACTGTCATTTTTATGGAAAATAGGCCAGTTTTTAGACTCTTTAATACAGAGATTTCCTGCTTTTCTCGCTTCATATCGTAATAAAGTGAATAAGTGTGGGATTTACACGGACAAAACTAAACTTTTAAAGACATCACCTTTGACTTTAATAAATATTTCACTTTTCTATGACATTTTATAGATTAATCAATTGAGAAAATATTCAGATGAATCCATTTTCAAAATAATCTTTAGTTGCAGATTCATTTCAAAGAACTGAATACTGTCAGGTTTTGTATTTTTTAGTTAATAACAACGTTTCTACCCGAGATTAACTTTTAGCCATTGCAGTTTTTAATTCTCAGAATCAGAGTTCCTTTATTTGTTATTGAAGGGACATTTAATGTATAGTTGTTACAGCAAAAGTATAGATAGAGACAAAAGAAAAATGAAAATAAAATACAATTAGATACACGTCATGCACATAATATTTAAAATAAAAAAATATATATAAGTTGTTGCCCAGAAGAAGAATTATAGCACTGATTAGTTGTGTATCATAGTTGGAGGTTACTGCTTTTGTATCAGATTATAGAGGGATTAGAATGTTCATAAAGTTTTAACATTCCTGAAATGGATTTTAGAAGTTTTGCATTTAAAACAAGCCGTGAGTATGTGAATAATACAATGTTTCACATGTCTAACACCAATGGTTTCTATTTAGAGATGTCATACTTTATGTGTCTCTATCTTCCTCACAGAGGTTTTAAATAACACTCCTGAACTGGAGTTTTTCATGATCTTAGTGTCCTGTAGCTCATGTTGTTGTTTCTTCCAGGTGCTTCTGGTTATGAAGCTCACAGAGTAATCGCTGGACGTGCAGCAGCATACTTTCTCTCAACCACTCTCATGTCTTTGACCATTGGTAAGAGCAAGACTTTGGCTTCTTTTTATTCACATTTGCTGCACATGGCATTTGAAGATTTCCTTTGCTTTTCACTTGAGCGTGTAAATATGCAATTTAAAACTCACTCTGACCGTTGTAATACAGCTATATCAACAAGGTTACATATTGACTTATTTCCAGGTTTGGGAAGGTTACTTAAAAATGTAATTTGTTACAATTACTAGTTACCTGTAAAATTGTAATCAGAAGCCTAATCTGAGTATCAAAATACAAAGGTAATGTAGCCTGAAGCTTCTATAGGCTAGAGCTCCAACGCATTGTACATGATACAAGCTAAGGGGCGGGACATCTCTGAGTTGTTGACCAATCACAAGAGAGTCGGCCAGCTATCCAATCAGAGCAGACTGGGCTCTGGTTTCAGACAGAGGGTGAAAAGTGGTGCTGCAGCAAATTAAAGCATGGAGACTGTTAGAGTAGAGGCAAAAAAATAGGAATGTGAAAATTAGCACAGTAAGGCCCCTTTAAAAAACATGAATCATTCACAGTATGATGTTCAAACCTGCATTATTATTATTATATTATTGTGTTTAATGGAGCTGCTGGTGCTCTTTCTCACATGAACGGGGTGTTTTCGCTTCTCATGCTCCACCATGGATTCTGTGTTGCAGGGATCATTCTGGTGATGATGTTCGAACCAGGGACTGCTCATGCTGTTGAAGGAGAAGACCCAGAAGACGTTCAGCCCTTCTTCAATGTTGACTCCTTGATGGACATCATAAGGTGAGAAGAACATTTCTGCTTTCCCCGCATATTCAGTTCAGCAAGGCTTTTAAGTCAGAAACAGCTAAAACATTTAGAGAACTCAAATCCATTCATCGTCTCCTTTCGCAGAAATAATGATGTATTTCAGGTGTTCTTCAGTGCAGATCATGTGCAGCGAACTGGCCGTTATAGCAACAAAAATAAACTGACAGGGTTATGGAGGGGGTTTGAATCACCCTGAAACCTTGTTTTTCCTTTCTTCTAATTGTTCTCTTTTTCATTTCTTTACTGGGGGCAGCTTTGCCGCCATAATTCCAAAGTTCCATGCTCTCTGCTCATTTAAAAATGTATATATAAAAAGTATTCCATAGGGTTTTCCAATGGAGGAGACACCTGCCTTTAAATTGACTGTTCTCCTTTCTGCGGATTGATATGACTCCACTTGTCCCTTGACTTGACTGGTATCAAAAAGAGCAGACTGCTGGATGCCCAAATCAGATTTGAGTATTCAACGAAGTCATTTAATACAAAAATGTTGCATAATGTCCTTGATTAAGACACAATTCCTTGGTTGTTTCACCATTTCCAAACATACTGATGGTGTGACTTATTTTTTGTCCATAGGAACATGGCGCCTAAATGCCTGATTCAGGCTTGCTTCAGACAGGTATGCTTCAATTAGGACAAACTGCTCATTTGTATTATTAATGTCGCTAAAACTTTATTTATCTTTTGTAGTACGAGACTGATAGGTTGGAATATGAAGTTGAATCGGATGAGTTCAATTCTAGCCTGGATATGGTAAAAAAAATTCCTGGTCACTGTTGAAGATTGTTTTTTGAAGTTTACATGAAAGACGTTGATGTTTGATTCATGATCATTTTGCTATGACATTTTTCTCTTGTTACAGAATGTGACAGAAATGCGACTGTCGGTCAAATATGTCGATGGAACCAACATTTTGGGCCTGATTGTGTGGGCTTTAATATTCCGCATAATCTTCAACAGGATTGGAAAAGATGGGAAAGTCCTTGTAGAGGTCTTTCATGCCCTCAACGAGGCCACAAAAATAATTGTCAACATGATACTGAGGTAAGCTTGTACAACAAACCTTATGAAACGAGAAATACAGTTAAATTCCACTTCCTTTTCTGCCCACAGTTTTACATTAGAGTAAGTGAACTTTTACCTCTGTTACTTTTAGACCATTTTTCAGGTTTTCGCATCCAACGATATGAATCCATTATTATGTTGATTTCTCATTTTCTTCAATGACAAAAACATAGCTGATTTCTTTTGAACCAATATCTACATATTTTTCATGTCATTGTTATCTTTCAGCTTCTTGCCAGTTGGAGTGCTGTTCTTGACCACAAGCCATGTTGTTGAGTTTGATGACGTGGAAACTATCTTCCAAATTGGAAAGTTCATGGCACTGGTTATTATTGGGTATGTTCCACCTTTTTTGGTCTAAAAGTAGTAGCCTTGCGTTAAATAATATATCAATCAGGTATTTTATTTAACCTCACTTGTAGCCTTAACGAGTCATCAAGCTACAGTAAGCTAAAGCAACACATTTGTTAATTTTATCCACCAAAAGCTACTGGTTATACCAGACCAAAACACACATTACGCCTCCCAAAAAATGTAATGAGCAGCAGAAGGCAGCCATGCTCGGCTCACTTCCTGAGACCCTGGGATTGCTGTTACAGTCTTGTCGTTTTAATACTCTTGCCCGGCAGCTGCATTGTGTAGACAAACTGTGTCAGCAATTGTATCAGATGATTTCATATTAATTGTGCATTCATTGTGTGTTTCAGGCTCATAATTCACTCAACAATAGTTTTGCCTCTGACCTATTTCCTGTGTACGAGACGTAACCCCTATGACGTTATCAAGGAGATTTTTCCCGCTTTAAAGAAGGCACTGTTCACCTCGTCAAGGTGAGATGATGTAACACAGAGTTGATATTTCAACATTCATCATTAGATCTGCAAGCATATCTTTGAGAGATGTACATTTCTAATATTTTCACTAACTAAGCATGCATTGTGTGTTTCCCAGCGTGAAAACACTACCACTCACTACTCAATGTTGTGAGAGCCGACTCATGATCGACAAAAGTGTCACTCAGTACATGCTGCCCATCGGAACGAACATCAACATGGATGGAACTGCCCTTTATGAAGTGGCCGCAGCCATCTTCATTACCCAAATCAACCACATCCACCTGAAAATCGGCCAGTTAATCGCTATTACGTAAGCCACTCAAAATCATACCATCATCACCATAGCAAGTTAAGAAGTGATAATATTTAGTGTGCAGGACATTGTAGTAAAAAGGAGCCTTGACAGGGTGTTTTGAATAAACCCTAAAGGGGCTTATTTAGCTATAATTACCTGTTTGCTGAATTTGATCCCGCTTATTACATTACATTACATGTCGCTTGTTAGACGCTTTTATCCAAAGCGACTTACATACTCAATACTGTGGGCAATCCCCACAGGAGCAATTTGGGGTGAATGTCAAAATGTACCAATCAGAATGCAGTATCCAACTGAGCTTTTTTATAATATTGGTTAAAAGTGTACAAGATGAGACGTTTAAAAGGAATAGACTTGGTAAAGTTGTATGTGTCTGTGTTTGATCTGCAGGTTGACATCAGGAGTGTGCAGCATAGGATCCTCAGGGATCCCGGCTACTGGAGGAATGACCACTATGTTTGTTCTGATGGCCGTTGGTTTACCTGCCAAGGAAGCCACCATTCTGGTGGTTGTAGAATGGCTCCTGTAAGTTTAATACAAGTAATGTAGAAATGACTGTAGCTGCCTTTTCTGTTTCTTGACTGGTGCACCAGTTACAAGTACAAGTCATGCAATTAATATCTTACTTAAGAAGAAGTACAAAAGTATGGGCATTAAAATATACTTGAATAACAAAAAATAAAAGTACTTATTGAGCGATGTAGCTCAATTCAGAGCCATATCAACTTAAATATTGGATTGTGATTATTGATGCATTCACTTGTTTGTCACAGCTAGTAAACGTGCAGCTTATTTAAATTACTTTATATACTACTACTGAATATCTTAACCTCTAATTATATATCTTACTTTATTTATATTTCTTATTAGCGAATAATCAGAATCTGTACTAGTAACTAGTAACTTATTTTTTTAGATAAATGCAGCAGAATAAAAGTACAATATTGGCTTATAAAATAAGAATAACCAAGTAAAGTACAAATACCCCAAAATCAAGTACATACTTGAGTAAATGTACTTCAACACATGCATGTGTTTCACAGTTGTGAGTGGGAATGCTAGGCCCCTGTAGAGGATGGTACTTTGTCATTATTAGCATACATTTTTTTGTATTTAAGCTATATTGTGTAAATATTTTGAAATTAAATTCAACATTTTCAATATTAGACAGACAACAAGTAAGGCATACATTTCTAATGTATTGAGTATGGGAAGCTCAATACACTTATAGTGTTTTTGTTTTGTTGTCTGAGCAAATGTGTCCTGACCGCTTCTAAACAGTCAATGGTCAGTTAAGATATGTATTACCTCTTTTATGCTTTATGCGAAATGGTTCGCTAACCAGCTAACATTCTTTTGTCCTTTTGGTCGGTCAGCTAAAGTGCAAATGGATCAAAGAAAAAAAAAAAATCAGAACATCTGCTCAACTTTTATGGTCTGTTGGTGTCTTTCAGAGACCGCTGCAACAGTGTTGTCAACGTCTTGGGAAACTGTATTGGCGTGGCAATCGTTCACCAGGTGTCAAAAGGACAAATGGGAGAAATGGAGCAAGAACCGCCAACGCCAAGGTACAAATCTATCTCGTCTTATTTGTTGGGATTTGCCTTTACATTTGCAGAAAACGTGAAGTAAATACTTCATTTAGTCTAGTGGCAGAGAGGAGCAGCAGGTTAAAAACCAAAGTATATATTTTTTTCTGCTGACCTATTTGTGCTTTGCATGGCTAGGGTGCAGGTCATTGATGATGAGGAACTCAGCCTGGACATGATCCAGGCTGAGTTCAACCCAGAGGAACACGCCCAGGACGAGGAAGACATGTTCAATGCTCTGGAATATCAGTAGAGCTAAGATGACAACTACACTTGAGAAAGTTCAGAAAAATCCCATTAAGTTGTTGTTAGTTGTCATGATTATTTAGCACACATTTATTTCATTTTGTCTTAGTGTAGTAGTTATGTATATGGCACAGTTGTTAGTTTATTGAGTAAAAGGTTTTTAAAACTGTATCAAGCAAGAGGTTTACTGTAGTTATTGCACTAAATATATTGAATTTAATTAATGTAACAGATTAATGTATTGAATTGTATTGATGTATTTGAATTTAACTGGATTTATTTCAGTATTTATTGGTGAATAAAAATTAAAGAAGCTGCAGTCATGTATTTTAATACCTAAAAAACATAATCACCATATTCATTGACATTAAAAATATATATTTTGATAGCATTCACAAACATACATACTGTCTTTTATATATAATTTAAGTAAAATCTTATGTGGCTTATTCACGAATCATATCGAATGTTGCTCTAAAATGTGTTGTGGTTCTAGTCATAAATGAATATGAATGTTAAAAAGTGCTTACATCTATAATTATACAGTGCTAAAAGAAAATTATAGCATTTAAAAATAAAAAAATGTTTAAATTGCATTTTACACATTAGCGTCATAAAGTGTTTCCATCATTTTGTTGCAGCTGTCCTGTAATGGTCTGATAAACACGAATAAAAACACACCAACAAACAAGGAAATGCCTTTATTGCTACAAAATAATATTAACAGCTTAGGTAGTGTTGAATTATTCAACAGGTTGGAAACTTAGAAAAATGAAAAACAAAGTGTGTAAAGAAGCTGGGGGTGGGGATGGGACAGATCACTAATCCACGGGCAGCTCCTGGTGGTGGTTGATCTCTGGAGGGAAGTGATTGATCCCAAGTTGTTCACTGTTGAGCTCAGCGTACTCTACTGACCCCTGCTGACACACAGAGCCCCGCCTTTAACACAGTCACATCTGATTCGTTTACTATTTTGGGGTCTTATTACAAAATCTACCTTAGTCTGAAATCTAATCTCAGTTAAAGATGATTTATCATGCTCATGTTCAGGTTGATATTAGTATTTTGTTCCTCTACTGTGACATGTCTCCATGCTTTAATGTTCAAAAAGCTCTTAATTTTTCTCATACTGCCTGTGCTGCAGCACCT